CTGTACTGTGTGATCACAGATCCACTTCATAAAGGCAATCAAAAACACATTTATATAAAAAAATTAGTTGTATCAAAGTAAATTTACATAAAAAATCTTAAATTTACCCTTCAATTGTCTGTACTTTCAAATAACTAAAGCTTAGGCAATATTATTATATTTTTGTAAATTGTTTCCCTAATTAACTTATAATATCATTAATTCTTTAAAAATATACACATATGTGTACATACACATACATACACACACACACACACACACACACACACACACATACACACATACATACATACATACACACATTTTTAAACCAGCATTTTATCTGGAAAATTTCAAGCATATATAAAAGTAGACAGTAGTACTGTTTACCCTATATATTATACACCACCTGGCTCATCATTAGATAATGGCCAATTGTGTTTTTATGCCCAAACACTGGCTGCACCTCACTAGATTTTTTTTGACTTAAAAAAAAATAACAGTATTACTTCAACGCAAAATTTCCTCTTGGATGTTTTTAGTACAGAAATTTATTTGATAGTATCAAAACAAGATTCTCAATTGTATTTGGTTGACATAACACTTAGAGTCTCTTAATTTATACTTTATGTGTCCTCTTTTATTTCTTTCTATTGATTAGCTAAAAAAACCTTGTCATCTGTCATGTAGTTATGTAGTTTCTCCTTGTCCGGGTTTTTTCTGATTGATTGCATCCTCTTGGTGACATTTAACATGCTCCTCTGTTTGTGTATTACCTGAATCTGGTAGTTAGATAGAGGAGCTTGGAGTGATTTCTCCTTTCCCTTCCCTTCCCTCCCCTCCCCTCCCTCTCCTGGCCTCTAAAGAATATTTAATTAGTGGTCTTAAATGCTTCCTTTACAAAGTACATATTCTGGTTGTCTGTCTTTTAGTGGTCATTGATAATCATTGACTAGATCCAATATTATATTAGGGATTTACAAAATGATAATTTTGTAGTTTTGACATTTTTAATTGATGAAACTTGAGTATACATATATACAGAGTAATTTTCCATTTGATCAGTTTTTTAGCTACTCTGAAATGCACTTTATACAGAAAAGACAGATTAAGTATTTCCTTTTATTTGCTAGTTTTCAAAAATATAACTGTAACATTTCCAAAAATAATCACTGCTATTTTTCTTTGCGGTATAAATACGAACCCATGAATTTTGATATGTTAGATATATTGAAGTTATTATTTTTACTAATAACTGAAATTAGCCATATTTTGATACAGTTCACTCCAGTAAGAATTTTCACTATGGACCCTAAATTTTTTGGAAAATGTATTTGTTTTATGGTATAATAAGGAGTCCAGAATCAACTAGTATTATTTTCTGTCTCATCCTGGTAAAAGAGACCTGGTTCCTTTGGGAAAAAAATGTATTTAGAGTCTACTATCTAGACACTAGAAGTGACACAACACTGAATTCTGATTGTTCCAAATCTTTTCAAGTAGGCAGAGCTAGGAAACATATTTTTTAAAGAGGAAATATACCATGAATGCTCACAGTGTTTTCAATTGCAATTTAAAACTGTATTTTTTTTTATCAAAACATTAGATTTTATATATGCTTTTCTCATGTACTGAGAATCTTCATTATGAATGTCATTAACATTATTATTTTTATTGTCACCCAACATGTACACCTGTATATATCAATACTATTAATAACAATGTTATTATTGAAAACAAGATTTATTTTGTCATTATTTTTTGTCCTTGAGATACATGCTATTATGTAGAGACCATCAATGTACTGTGTTTTAAAACCACTTAAAGTAATTCCTCTTTTTTGAACAGCCAATTCAATATAGAATCAGGTTCAATTGTTTCATTTTGATTTTGAAATTTTAAAAATATTTTTATATTGATTTAATTTGGTTTATAATAAATGGAATATTTACATGGCTTTGAAGTTAAATCTAGAAAATAAAAGTACATATCCAGAGTATTTTCTTTCCTATCCCCTTTATCCTTTGTTTTGCCTTATATAGTGAAGAAATAAAAATATATACCTGCCTGTATTAGAAAACACATATATTTCCACACTAAAATAAATTAGAGCCACTCTGTACATTTCTGCATTTTGCGTTGTTAACTTACACTGTATAGAGATTATTCCATTGCATTCTTCAAATATGTGTTTCAATTTTTTTTTTTGTTTTACTGCTGCCTACATTTCCATGGTGTTTATTTACCATACATTATTCAGTCAATCCCCCTTTGATAAACTTTGGGGTTTTTGGCTTCTTCATAAAAGTTCTAGAATGAGTGTGGGTGTGTAAATCAATTCACATCCAGTTGTATCTCTGATGTAGACACTTGAAAACTTAATTGCTAGCACAAAGGGAAACACATACATAAATTTTTAAAAAATTGCTAATTGTTCTACATAGATGTTGCTCTATTTTACAAATGAATCTCTAACTTTATAAGGAACAACTGTATACGTTTTAGTTTTTGGTGGGGGTAGGGCTATTTGTTTATATAATAGCTTTGTTTTGATGGGAGCTTTTGTCATCAATAGTATTTGCTAAATCTAATTTGTTGTGAGTATATGATGCAAAATTATCAATATTCAAATACATTATCTGCTGGGTATATGTCTATAATCTCAATAAATTGGGAGATTGAAACAGGATGATCACAAGTTCAAGGCCAATCTCAGCAACTTAGATTCTGTTTAAAAAATTTTTTTTTTAAAGGGCTGGGGTGTAGCTCAGTGATAGAGCACTCCTGAGTTCAATACTTAGTACCACAAAAAATAAAACAAAAAGACCCACATTCTCATTTACTAATATTATAGTAGAAGCAGATTTTGCATCCACATGATTCACATTTTCATAAAAAAAAACTTGACAGTAAAAATTATAAATTTGTTCCTTGATCATACCTCATAGTGAATATTAACCCCTTTGCATTATGAGCTCTAACCTATAAACACATTATGACGCCATCTCTGAAAGTCCCTGACTTTTAAACCAGAGAATAATGAAAAATTTTAAATGTCTTCTTAAGTACATAGATATGTTTCTTAACAGTCTCTTAGAAAAGACTGATAGACTTCTTTGGCTTCAATTTGCTGAATTATTAGCAATGAGATGACTGGCAAAACCCAAAGTAATAGTATTGTGTCTTTCTTAAACCACTACTCCTAAATCTGCTTTCTTTATTGATATAATGGGGTGAGAATTAATTTTAAAAGGTGGTGACTATTGATTACTTAATGGAAAAAGATAGTGTAGAAAACGCTGAAGGAGTCTATTCTGTGCCCTCCCTGTGCAACAGGACCCATTATCCAGTAGTGGAAATCATTCCATAACTCCCATTAATATTTGATAGGCAGGAGGCAGGCACAAGGTAGACTACAAAATTGACATAGGAGTGGGCTACAATAGAACATAAGAATATTTTAGGTCTATGAAAGGGTAATAGATTTCCCCATATCTGGATTGTTTATAAGCAGGAGAATAGCACTCTCAATTCCCTTCTGTGATCCCTGAGCAATGACAGCCTGCTACAAATGCCCAGTAGGCAAGGTGAAGTGGTTAACACTTTGGGCAGTGTCTCTAGGCCTAAAAAGTCTTGGTATTTTCTAGTGTGGGTCTCAATTTCAGGCTCTCTTCCTCTCCTCTTACCACAAGCAAGAAGGGCTGAAGGGCTTATTCAGCAGGGCTGGCAAGTCAGCGAGAGGCGTTAATTGTATCTAACACAGCCATCATCCTTGGGGTGATAATCAGCAGCACAGAGTCTATCAGCTCACCCCTTGTCACATGTCAGGATCTTTTTATTTCAGCTCATTTTAAAAGGAAGCCAGGAGTTTTAAAGATAGCTAGTGGGGAGACATGAGTATTAGAGTGCTTCTAAGGACTAGGGGACTTTGAAGCTGACTTAAGCTGAAATGGGCTATGATTTCTGGAAGGACAATACAAGCTCCTATAGATTACTGACTCCCATTATTACTTTTACATTCTACTGGGCTATTTTTTCAGTACCATTGGCTTATTTTTAAAGTATGATAAACTTGAAATGAGATAAAGTAGCTAAGATAGGACATAAAGGTAAACAAAGATCAGATAACTACCATCCCAAACAATGCATAAAATTAAGTAGAGAGTAAAGAAATAGCAATTTTTTGATTCAATAACTAAAGAATTTTGAAAATGTGTTGAAGAGACCCACATACTTGGTAGCATTTCAGGATTGTTTGTAATTACCTGCCTAGAATGAGTTGCACAAGAATAATTTAGCTTTGTAAGGGAAAAGGTATCCAAGGGAACAGTCTCTTACTAACATATTGAGCTTTTTCTTAAAACTAGTGAATGAAATTGACCTAGAGCTCCCATTATAATTCCATGTGAAATGTGGAAAAATTCAGTTTTACTCACAATTTTAGATGGTACATGCCTTCAATTTATTAATAGATCTATGTGTATGCATTCTCTTTCTCCACCCAGTAAATAATTTCAAAATATCAAGATTTAAGAATAGGAAATGCAACTATGTTCATTTTTTATGAAATTTGATCTCTGATTGTGCATCTACTCATAAATGTGTTCTTTGTTTTATCATCGCTATTTATTGGTTGGTTGGTTGATACTACTGCCATTACCTGCTAGAAGTAGGGTTTAGCTCATTTAAAGAAGGTTCAGTCTAGAATTCACAGATTCTTCAGGGGCTATCCTCAAGAGTAAAAGTAATGCTCTAAGTTAAAAATAATTTAACTGAGATTTTTCTCCCAGGTGCTTAACATTATGACATAAAGCATAGGAAGACATCATATCAACTATAAATATAAAAAGGTTAATAATATTTATAACTTCAATGTCTTTGATCTTCCAGGGAAGAGTTTTTTATAGCCTATATATGCAAGAGACAGTGCTTATTAAACTATAATGAAATGTTGTTATGATTTTCAGTCGTGAAAGTCACAACCCCTAAATTTCCTTGCCTTTTCTTTTCCAATTTTTTAGCGCAGCAGCAGTTTTGGAAATTTTGATCGTTTTCGGAATAATTCCATATCAAAACCAGATGATTCAACTGAGGTTAGTATTTTATTCTATATTTATAAATTTTATGCACATACTTTCTAACAATTATGAAAACAATACTTTTGCAAAGTAAAGTATGAAAAATAAAAACATTTTTAAATCATAGCTTTCCCATATTTTTGGAATAAATGAACAAACAACATGATACCTCCTATCATACTGGGCATTAAGGTAAAAACTAAGATGGCTAAAAGATGTTCAGGAAGGTAGAATATGAATATAAGAAGATAGATGCAATTTACAGTGACACTAAAAATTCCAAATTTCCTGAGCTCTTCCATCACAATACGTGTGTGTGTGTGTGTGTGTTGTTGTTGTTGTTGTTGTAATGATTTAAAATTAGGAATTGATTAAGTGGCTTGGCTGTGAATTTGTTAAGGAGAGCATACAACTACTCAAATGCACTCTCAGAATCCTACTATATGCATTGACATGTCTCATCAGTGACCATTACATACACATCTGTAAGTCATGCACACTTTTAAGCTTAAGAAAGCTTCACATAAATTAAATTTATAAAATACTATGTTAATAATGCCAATAATATATATTTAATTGAGCATTTACCATGTGGTAAGAATAATATAAACACTTTCCTTACCTACAACATAGAAACTATTATATTTCTATCTTACTGTTGAAGAAGTATTCTTGCTTCATGGAGTAAAATTACTTTTACATTTCAGAGTTAGTAAATGACAAAGGCAGAACACAACCTCTTCTCTGACTCCAAAGCTTGCCATTTTGTTATACTATCTCATTATCTAGGGACAACCTGTGATGTGTGATTAAGGAAAAGTACAATAACTAATAAAAGAATAGAAAGGAGGCATACATGCTGAGAAAATTAAAAATATGTTACAGTTACATATTCATCATTTTGCCTGACTCAGCAACCTCACCAATGACGCTTTATTTTAAAGTAACAGATATTCCGCACAAAAGAAATGGAAATAAAATGATGACAATGACCATTAGTAATTCATAAATACATCCATTCATATATATATATGCATGAATGTATATATAAGACTACTCAAATGCATCCTCAAAGTCCTACTATATGCATTGAAATGTCTCATCAGTGACCATTACATACACATTTGTAAGCTATAAACACTTTCAAGCTTAAGAAAAGTTGAAAGAGACAGAGAAGACTTATAAGATTTTTGTTTTCAGTTTGCCTCTTGTGTAAACTTTTAATTCTCCATAATCATACATAACTAAGTTCAAAAATTATCTAATTTATAATTCTAGACTTAACTCATAAATGTAACCCAGACTTATTCAGAGTCATTGACAAATTATAATGGCTGAATAATTTGTGAAAGTATTTAGTGAACGTGATGAAATAATTTGCATACTTTTCAGAAACACAGCATTCATCCTCCTTCCATTCAACTAATTCAGATCAAACTCCATGACAGAATTCCCATCAGGCACTCAGGAAGTACGATGGGAATAATAGATGAAAATGCTTACTTATTTCATGATGACTGAAGTCTAGAGGAGGACACACATTTTTAAAAGGCAGAAACAAAAACAAAGCTGTAACTAAATACTTAAATTAAAATGTAGCTTAGGCTATGAAGCACAGCATCAAAAAATGTAAACACTTAAAATATATGGAGATAATTTCTCTGAAGCTTCTGTAAATAATGGTAGAAAAACTGAAAAAACAATCTGCAGTACATTTCCTGAAGCTCAGAGAATAAGTTAAAATCAGTTGTAATAAAAAATTTTTCACATTTATTTTAGTAAAATAGTCTTACAATGAACACAGAGAAAATTTAAGCAGAGAGAAGAAAGAAAAACTCTAACAGTTTAAAGTGTTTCCAAATTATATTTTATTCAGTGCTTTTGAATTAAGCAAAGAATCTTTGCCTTTATAACCTTGAATGTAGAAATTAATAAAGTGCAATGAGGGCTTAAATTGGCTGTCCATTCATATTTATCATAGGCAATTTGGGGTAAGATATCAAGCAAAACATAATATTGATTAATAACGATGCTAACTATGTGATTAAACTTTTATATTAAAATAGTCAAGTTCACTAAAGAGAAGTTTCCCATCTTTTTTTTAATATTCAGAGAATGACTGGCTGTCCACCTATCAGGAATGGTGGGCAGTGCTAAGCCAGATGACCTACAAGTTTTGTTTCTTGCAAATCTCAGGTATTAAAGATAAGTATGTCCTCGGAAGGAGAAAAAATGCTTCAAAGTTCAACATAAAGAGTTCATTTATTTTAAAAATTTGAATCACCAGTTATATAAGTAGTCTAGATACTCAGAATAAAGAAAAGATAAAATCTTCAGGAACATGCATCAAATGGAAGATGCAGATGAGAATTAAATAAACAAATATAGTATCAAGTAACCTTAGGTCCTTAGGACAAGAATAAGTCTGATTAAACAAACTGGATATATGGACAAATGGGGAGAGTGATCTATTAGAAAATTTCTCTCCTATTATGTGATATATGAATAGAAACCTGGATGATTTAAGGAAGATCTGTGGTTATCTAGAAGTTAGCAACAGCAAGTGTATATCATGGCGAGAATCTGATAAAGTAAGCAAGGGGGCTAGGGTGGCAAAAAAAAAAATTACTACACTTGTTTTCAAACATCTATGTATCAAAAATCACTTGAAGACATTGTTAAAACACAAATTGTCCCCAAATATGTTGATGCTGCTGGTCCTGGCACCAAATTTTGATAACCATTATAATAGTAAGCAGGGGAAATCTAAGAAGCTACAAGGAGTAGGTTGGTAAGAATATTTTTTTCAAAATGATTCTATATAACACAATATATAGCATTTTATAATATATAATATATTAATTATACTACATCACATATTTTACATTATGTTATTGAGCTCTGTGGGCTGGAAACACTTTGTGTTTTATTCTGAGTTAGATGGGAAGTCATTGCTTTAATAAGTACCAGACAGAAGCAATCCAAACAAGAGAATTGATTATTAGTACAGCATATGAATTGCATAAAGATTTCTCTACTAATAGATAAAGCCAATAATTTTTTTCTCTACATTTTCTTTTTTTTCATTTAATTTGTTCTAATTAGTTATACATGACAATAGAATGTGTTTCAATTCATTGTACACAAATGGAGCACAACTTTTCATTTCTCTGATTGTACATGATGGAGAGTTATACCATATGTGCAGTCATACATGTACCTAGGGTAATGATGTTCATCTCATTCCACCATGCTCCCTCCCCTTCCCTCTCTTCCCTTTGCCCAGTCAAAATTACTCCATTCTCCCCATGTCCTGCTCCCAATTATGGAGAGATGGAGCCAAATAACTCTTACCATAGCTTGAGAATGTGTAAAATGTGCAAGTATACTCACCTGGCAATGTGGAAAAAAATTAGTTTCTCAACTGATTTAACTAACTTTGAAACTTCTAAAAAATAGTCATAACAATCCCAATTTCTGTAAAAAGCAAGACACTGTTATAATGCTCATTCAGCATATAAATGCTATAGCTTTTCTAAACTCTTCAATAAAATGTCTCCCATCTGTATAGACAAAATCACTCAGTATGTGGTATTTTCTTCTATTTTTTTTTATCTCAAAAACAAGATCTAAAATGATTCTTCAACAAAACTCTTCTAAAATAACCAAAATTCTCTAAAAAATAATTCAGATGTAGGTGCTGGGGTATATCTCAGCAGTAAAGTGGTTACTTAGCATGTATGAGGCTCTGGGCTCAATCCCCAGCACCATAAAAAGAAAGAAAAAAAAATCAGATGAAAAGGTGAGAACCTTCATCAACACTAGTGTTAATTTTTGAGTTTGTAGCACAGATAATAAGATAATCAGGTCTGAAAAACTTGAAATATACGTGGGTTTTGCCTATACTATTTGAAATTGTGAAGGTTGATGCACAGAATGTATGGAAAGTCCGTGACTTCAGTCTTCTAACAAGATTTTCAAATCAATGTTCCTCACCTATTTATTGTTTCATCTTTCAAAAAAATAATCCAAACTAGGCGCCTGAGTGGGAACCCACAACTGAAAGTGGAGAACAAAATAAAACTTCAAGTAATGGAGGAGGTCTAGGGAAAAAAATGAGAGGCATTTCATGGACCATGAAGAAAAAAGTGGGTAAAAAGTACATTAAGGCCCTTTCTGAGGAAAAGGTAAGTGCACCCTGTTAATCATTTCTTTTATTATTTTTTTCCAAAAATATTCAACAGGTTCTTTTTCTAGATGTACATAAAGTATCAGTGCTTTATGAAGTACTTAAACATGTATTTTATCTCTCACTTATCATGCCCAAAAATTGGGTGGAAGAAAGTATAATTACTCTCAATTTAATAGACGAGATTCATGTTCAGAAAGATCAGACATCTATATACACTATGAAGAACAATGTCATTTAAGTTGTATTAAGCACCAGTACTTCATTCCTGTTTATTACAAAATAATATTCCATATAATAGGTAAAAACCAGATTTTATATATTCATTCATAAGTTGATGAAGCATTGGGTTGTTTCTCCTTTGGGGCTCTTATGAATAATATTGATATGAACATCTCTTTTCAATTAATTTTCAGGAATATTTTTGTTTCTTATTAATATATGTAACTGTGTTGATTATTTTGAGAAACCACCAAACCAATTTCCAAAGTAGCTGCATCATTTTACATTCCAACTAGCAATGTGTAAAGTGTTTTGCTTTTTCCACATTCTTCCCAGCACTTGTTATTGTCTTTTTTTCTTTTTTATGCTAGTCATCCTAGGAGAGGTGAAGTAGAATCTCATTGTGATTTTACTTTACATTTCTGTTATGACTAGTGATGTTGATCATCTTTCCATTTGCTTGTTAACCACATCTATATCTCTTTGGAGAGGTGTTAATTTAAATCCTTTGCCCAGTTTTTAATTCTGTTTGTCTTTTTTTTTATTTTCCAGTTTTAAATGTTTTTACATATTCTGGATAAAAGTCCTATTCTGTGAATTATATTTTTAATATTTTTTGGTACTTTTTTTTGGTACCTGGGATTGAACCCAGAGACATTTAACCACTAAGCCACATCCTCGGGCCATTTTATATTTTATTTAGATACAGGACCTCTCTAAGTTCCTTAGGACCTCACTAAATTGCTGAGACTGGTTTTGTGAGACCCTCCTGACTCAGCCTCCCACAACTTTGGTTGTGCACTACCACTGGTGTGCACCACCACACCCAACTTACATTTTTACTTTCTTAATAGCATTGTTCACAGCATGAATGTTTACGATTTTGTTGCAGCCCATATGACCTATTCTTTGCTTTTGTCACTTGTACTTTGGTATAATACCTAAGAAACCATTATTTAACATAAAGTCATAAATATTTACCCTTATCTTCTAAGAGATTTGTAATTTTAGCTCTTAAATTTTGGAGCATGATCCATTCTGAGTTAATGTGTTTATGTGGTGTGTGAAAAGAGTCCAACTTCGTTCATTTGTAGAAATGCAGTTGCCCCAGCTTCATTTGTTGAAAAAGGCTGTTCTTTCCCCATTGTATTGTTGTAGTCCCCAGTTTAAATCAATTGACCATAAATATATGGTTAAATATATGGATCATACACATATGAGTTTATTTATGGACTCTGAATTCTATTATGTTAATTTATAGGTCTTATGCCCATTCTCTTTTTTAACCCATTTTTATACAACTGTGTCCTTAGTACTCTATCACAATCAGGAGTAATCTCTGGGCTGTCAAACCTAATGATCATTTTTATTTCTTCTCACTTCACTTTTCAGCTGTATTTGACACAAGTGATGATATCCTTACATGTGTAGCATAATCTTTTCTCGGTTTCTTTGAGCATTCTTTTGGTCTTTCTTTTTCCTGGCTTTCTTTCTGAGGCTTGCTTTCTTTCTTTTATACCTCACAATGGGGACTAAATGTCAACATGTATTTTTTTCGGAGGGAACAAACAATACTCAAACTGTAACATTTTGCCTCTGACCCCAAGGTTCTTGATCTCTTCACAATGCATAGTACAGTCAATAAAGCAAAGTCCTGTACAAAGAGACCTAACTGGCGCTTCTCCACCGTCACCACACAGTCTGCAAAGTTCTTCATGAACTGGCACTAGTCCACTTCTCTGAATTCATGTATAAATACTGACCTTTCTCTTAGGACAATAACCTTTACAATGCAAGCTAATTCTGAGTTCAATTATGTTGTTCTTATTGCTTAGAAATCTACATTTAAACTTTCTCATAAATTACATCTTCTAATCATTCAGATCAATAATTCAGAACATGTTACCATTTAGCAGAGTTCTTTGGAGGCTATTTTATCTAAATCAAACAAGCTTCCTAATCATCGAAGCTAATTCCTTCACATAATTTAGTAGTAGTTCTTTAATATCACTTATAATTTTCTGAAAATGTTTTGTTTATTTTGTTTATTCATTCTTCCTTTTTAAATTTTTTTTTAGAGAAGGAGAGAGAGAGAATTTTTTAATATTTATTTTATAGTTTTCTGTGGTCACAACATCTTTATTTTACTTTTTTATGTGGTTCAGAGGATCGAACCCAGCGCCCTGTGCATGCCAGGCGAGCATGCTATGGCTTGAGCCACATCCCCAGCCCCCTTAAACACTTTAAACACATATGCATGTATACATCTATAACTAATGCACTAGAGTGTACTTCATTAGAGAAAGGATGATGTTAGCCAACTGGTATTTATCATGGTATCCCCAGTTCCTAGAACAGTACTGTGTACCTAGGAGGTATGCTATAAAACTGCACTGTATGACTAAACGAACAATTAAAGCAATAGATAAAGCCGAGACTAACACTGTATATTCTGAAGTTTTATCAATGTTTAGAAATGCTCAAAAATGGGAATATTGAATTACATTTGGATAAATATTAAGAAATTCACAGGCTTTGTCCAAAGTATCTAAATATGGAAAACATTTGGGATGTTTTCAAGGAAATGTAATTTGTTTTGAAATTGTCTGTCTTTCGTAATTTTATGCAAGATTTGCTTTTGACTTGACTAGGTGGCAAGCACGGTATGAGATTTGTAAAGCTTCTTAGATAAGCTTTGCTTTAGAATTGCAAAGTGTGCATGTTTTATTCATATCTAGTGATCTGGTAGAGCACAAATAACTGACATGAAACAACTGTGCAGGGTTTAAACCTGTAGTATCAGATCTCAAAGGATTAGTAATGGTGGTAAATAGATGAGAAAGAGAGCACACTGAAGTAAAAGTACTTTAACAGATATGGCTAGATGTTGATAAATCTAGTATTTCTGATTAAATAGTCTAATATGATATTTATTCTTATTTTCAAAAATAAGCCATTATAATTTCAGTTGAATTCCACAGTAAGCAGTGTCTCATCTAAGGAATTTTTTCAAGTAGTCTCTCAAATGTTTTGCTAGAAATTGAACTAAAGATTAATGACTCTCATATTTTATGCTGATGTATTCCTAAGTATTTTGTTGCTAAAATATGTCTTGTTTGTTAAATCAATGCACACAGTGAACATCTCCATGGAAATCTGCTCTTAGCACTTAACCTCTGATATGTTTTTCTGAAGGATGGGGAAGATGGAGAGGATGCCCTCCCATGTCGGAATAGTGACCCCGTGATTGGGACTCACACAGAGAAAGCCTCCCTCAAAGCCAGTGACTCCATGGATAGTCTCTACAGTGGGCAGAGCTCATCAAGTAAGGCTAATGAATAAGAAGAAGGAGCCTAGATGTGAGCACTGGGTTAAATTAATTAAAAACAGCAAATCTGCCCTCTGGGGTTTATTTATCAAATTAACAACAAGGTTCCAGCTATTTGATGAGAGAAATAGTGAAAAGTAGGATGTTTTGAATCTATATATTCTTCAAAATGATGCACAATACATTAGACAGAATTATCCATCATTTTAAAACTTTTTAATGCTTCAGTCAGCAGGCCTCTTGTGAATGTTCCTCAAAAATGTTGTGTTGGGTAATTAATTCTGAATCCCTAGAATAAAATGTATGTTGGGGAAAACCAGCATTATCTTGAGTCAAAATGCTTAAAGTGACATTAAATAGTTAAATAAATAAAATCCTCTTCTTTGTCCCTACCTCTCTCTTTTTCCTTTAGTTTTCTTTTTCCCTGAAATGTTTTAAAAATTACAAGTCATTTACATCAATTCTGTTCTTTACTTTTTAGCAATAATGAGTAAAAGTGAAGTAATATGTAAATACTAAATGTTAGAAATGTCACCAATTAGGTGACAAAAAGGAATCAGCAAGGGACTAACAAGGATTTTCTAATGAACATTGTTATCTTTCTAAGAAGGAAATTAGTGAAGACTTAGTCACATTTCCTGCTACAATATTTAGATGAAAGTACTGATAATGTACAGAACCTTATGACTTTTTATATGTAAGCTCGTATAAAATCCTCTAATCTCTTCGGGATGTTTAAAAGTCCTTTTCCATTTCTTTTTAAATCAACTGCCTCTGTTATTTGAAGATGGATCATGAAGACTAGATGTTTAAAATATCCTAAATTTTATTCCTATTTTCCTATTGGCTATAGAACAGCTATTTTGTGAATAAATCTAATTCAGAGACATTTGCAGGATGTGCTCATGTGTGTGTGTGTGTGTGTGTGTGTGTAATTCAAATTTCACTAGCATGCATTTCTCCTGGAAGTTCTAAAATTCTCAATTGTGATGTTGAATGTGGGGGGAATTTTATTGACTATAATGTACCATGAAAATCCTGGACCTGGATTCATTGTTGAAGGGAGAGTATGAGGAGCCAGTGGCCTTCCTAAGTGTTATCTTACACAGTTTCATTTCTGTGAGTAGAGGCAACTCAGCTGTCTTTTAGGCAAGTTTATATATACATGGAGACTCTTGAAAGATCTTATTTTATTTCCATAACGGATGATATTGAAACCCGAGCTGCTCCCTAAAGAGAAAAGGAAAAGACAGCCAGAAGGAGAAAGTAAAATGACACAGAGTGGGGCGGGGGGTGGGGGCAAAGGAAGAAACACTTCCACTGGGAACCAGCAAAATGGAATCTTTTTCAACTCTTGCCCCTGAGGTTCAAAATTAGAAAAGAAGGGGACCAGAAAAAAAAAAAAAAAAACAAGAATTTGAAGCAGTTTCAAAAGCTCAGTTTAAAACAGTTTCAAACTACTTGGGCATCCAGATATTGAGACCACTTCCTCTTTCCCTCCCGCTTAGCCAACAGGCAAAAGTACCACCTTTTAGCAGAGATATTGCCTTAGAATGGCCTTTGATACAAAATAGGGACTCTAAGGGAGAGTTTTTGGTACAATTTTGATAAGTTACAGGGAACCTGGTAATGAAATGCTTTGACCATTCATGGTCAATAGCGCACAAAGATCAAACTGTTGCTATCAGTTTCTGACTTGGTTCGCGTGCATGAAAATTATCTGACTTGGTCAAGCACTAACCATATACCTTGCTGCTCCTCAGTCAGTGTCCATTGCTTAGTACCCCATGTGCTGGATCAAATCATAGCAAACAAAAGAAAAGAGAGTCTGGGTTAGTGATTGACAGTACCAGATGGCCAGGAAACAGGTCAGAAATAGCTCAGAAGACAGAGGTCACTGATGGAATAGGAATGGAAGGTAAAACAAGACTGGCATCCATTGCTTCAGTGGCCAGATGAGTGTTCAGAATGCCAAAAGCCTTTGATAGGAGCTGTTGACCTCTACTTTTTTTTTTTTTTCAGGTGGAATAACAAGCTGTTCAGATAGTGCAAGTAACCGAGACAGCTTTCGACTGGATGATGATGGCCCCTACACAGGACCATTCTGTGGCCGAGCCAGAGTGCATACAGATTTCACTCCAAGTCCCTATGACACTGATTCCCTCAAAATCAAGGTGGGTCAACATCTTATTTGCCTTCTAAATCCTTTGTCACATTCTTGTTGTATGATCCGTTTCAGGAAGTACAAGACGTAGAAAGTAGGGATGCATGTTCTTCCCAACAGTTGAACTGGGGACTGGCTTACAGTGGCAAAGATGTAGGAAAAAAGAAAAACTAGATGAGGTGGGATAATAGGGATCAAACCATGCAGGACATTAGCATAAGTTGCTGTTAGGTAGATTATGCACATTCAAAATCTATGGTTCAGGAAAGGAATTGTCTACATTTTTCTGAAAACTGAAAGCCTCACAGGTTGCAGGACATGCCCAGTTCTGCCTGATACTTGCTGGAGTAAAATTAATGAAGACAGAAGAAGAAAAGATAGAAAAATCAAACAAAAGCCCAATTGAGGAAAGGTCTTGTGAACTAGGCTTGGCTGGGCAACTCCAGTGCATTTAAAGTTGGTTTCTATGAGTGATAGAGATCTTTGTCCCCATAATACTCGCTCTTAAATTCCTTCCTCTTAGCCTTATGCATATTGTCATATAACAAATTACCCCAAAGTCAAAGGCTTCAAACAATGCAAATGCATTATTATATCACAGTCTCTATAGGCCATAAATCCGGGCATGACTCAGTTTAGTTCTCTGCTAAAGAAATCACCTGGGTGAAATCAAGGTGCCAGCCATGCTATAATCACTCCAGAGACTTGGGATGCTCTTTCAGGATCACTTGCTGTTGGAAAAATTCAGCTTCTTGTGGTTGTAGGACTGAACTCCCTGCCTTCTTGTTGGAGAACAGCTGGAGACTTTCTCAGTCTGTAAATTCCACCAGCCATGGCCCTTCCTACAACATAGTTGTTTGTTTCTCAAGGCCAGAGGGAAAAGCTGACACATGCTTCAATATCTTTTTTTTAAAGGAATCCCATGTGATTAAGTCAGACCTGCCTAATCTGAATTTTGATTAACTCAAAAGTCAACAAATTTAGTGCATTAATATATTTGTGGATTCACTTCTGTCATATAAGGTAATATAACCACATGTGTGAAATCCACAATGTTCATAACTTTGCTCACACCCAAGAAAGACAAGGCTATCTGCAACAGCTCAAATAGGAGAGAGCTTTATGCTAAAATACTTTATAGATAACATCTATAACATCTATACCTTTCAGTATCATAAAGCATTATAACTAAAAGGATATGAATTATATTTTTTTTATACTGTCAATACCAAACCATTGGTAACTAATGATTATGGTATACCATATTGTTGATATTAATAAGTATTGATATTATTATTTGACATGTAAGACACTCATCTCTTTTCTTTGTGCCTTCTGATGACATCAAATCAGAGTGAGGTTAGAGGGAGCATAAGAAAAACATTTCCCCCCACAGTTATTCCCTTAGTCGTTTATATGAAATGATTTGAAGTTCAAGTTCAAGACTTAGGGAAAGGATGTTTGTAGCCTAGAATGTGTTTTCAGGGGAGGGCAGAAAAGGGAATGCACACAAAGCTCTTTGACTCAGAACTGATTTTCAACTTCCTATCGTGAAATACCAGGCACCACTCTTAGTGTTTGTCTGAGGTGATTTTTGTGGATGTCTTGAAGGATAAGGATCCCATAGTTCTCACTAACGGTTGATATGGTATTATTTCAGCAAGATGAAATTGAGTCTATTCAGGTGGTTTGTGAGCTTTCCTGTAATGTATGAGTTTACAAATTTAAAGAACAATTACAAGTTTATAAACATATAAGTTTATAAATTTAAAGAATTTAGTAAAGGTATGCCACACACAGAAACTTCCTATATCTTCTATACATTTCCTGGTCTGCTTAGGCATCTGGCCTACAATTTAATTCTCATAGTTAAAAGGCAAAAAAAAAAAAAGACTAATAGCTTAGAGGTCCAGATAGCGAGATGATCACAAGTCAGAAAGATTGCATCTTTCAATTAAACTAAATTCTACCATTATAAATAAAATTTATGTTTTACACAAATTACAAATTCACAGATCAAAAGGAAAATACACATTTAATAATAGACTTATGCTGTTTGTTTAAGATAGATCCTTTAAGACGGCAAAAATATTAGAATCAGTAATATCCTTTCTGAGGCAGAAAGTTATGTCTCAAAGGAGTAACTATGACTCTTTGGGTACTTATTTGCATAGAACTCAATTATCTCTGCAAATATATATCACCAGGAGATTTCTCTTCTTGTCAATAACTGGCAACCTATAGACAAATATGATCTTAGGTATGAATAAGCAAAATACCACATGGTTTGACCATCCCAATGTACTTCACTCACGGTCCATTGAAACTTTGGAGGTCAATCTACGTGTTACCGTCTCTTAGTAAGAAGAGTAGTGGGGATAGGAAAGACGGTGGAATGAAATGAACATCATTACCCTAAGTACATGTATGAAGACACGAATGGTGTGACTCTACTTTGTGTACAACCAGAGATATGAAAAATTGTGCTCTAAATGTGTAATGTGAATTGTAATGTATTCTGCTGTCATGTGTACAACATAGAATAAATAAATAAATAAAATGAATAGCTCTAAAAAGTATGCCAATTTCAATATAGAATTATTCCACAATCCTTATGTTGGAGAAAAAAAAAACAAAAGTAACATTAGAACTTTAAGAATTAAGTAGACAATTTTGTGCACACATACTTTTGTGATGTGTTTCATAAGTTTGGCATTTCATGATTTTTGGTGGATAAAGTACTTTACATGGGTTTATTTTGTACTCTACGTGAATTCTTTTCAGGTAAACTAGAATCATAGACATTCATAGACTTCTTTCTCTTCCCCTGTCCCCTGGACAGTCCCTCCAGGAATGATAGCGTGAGCCTTGCTACATATATGCTGCTTTGACAGTATAAATGAAATAGCGTCATTTTTAAGTTTAATTTGGACTTGTTCTGGTTCTGTCATTTAACTTGTGTAAGCTCTTGAGAAGTCATTTAATATCTCAATTTACCTTCCTATAATATTTATAATGATATTATACCTCATACATGTATCTGAGGTGCTCCGTGAGCATAAAATGACTTAGTGTATGTGTTATATAAATTATGTTGTTTTCTATAAATACAAATTAATTTGATGTGATAACAAAAACAGAAATGTGTTACAAGTGTATATAGGAGCTTTTTTTCCAAGCATGTTGAAGTGTTCATTACCAGTAAATAATTTCCTTGAGCAAGGAAACTCAGATGTATTTCTATTATGTTTGTAATATACTCATTGCTGTAGTTGCCTATAATTCCATTCTTTCTATCAAATGTAATAGCCATAGTTCTTTGAAATCTGATTCAGATATGTCTTTGCCCTTAGAAAGGAGATATCATCGACATCATCTGCAAAACACCAATGGGCATGTGGACGGGAATGTTGAACAATAAGGTGGGAAACTTCAAATTCATTTATGTGGATGTCATCTCAGAAGAAGAAGCAGCCCCCAAGAAAATAAAAGCACACAGAAGGAGTAAAAATGAAAAACCCAAGACCCTGCAGGAGTTCTTAGAGAGGATTCACCTTCAGGTTAGCAAACCTTTGGCCTGTTAGCTTTTGGTGGCTGGCATTCAGGTGGAATAATTGATGGGATTGGATCAGTGTGTGCATAGTGTTGTTCAAGAATATAAGACTTACAGCAAAGGAAAATATGTTTTCCTAGAACAGCTCTTATTTCTCCTTTATTACTTTTATTATGCAAAGACAGGCCTTGATATAACATCCTTTGGACTAAACCCTAATAGTACTTAGCAGTGACAGTAGAAATTAATGTGAGAAAGTGCAATGAAAAATGATAACTATCCAGGAGAATAAAAGACCCAGAAAAACATCTAAATGGGAATGACAAAGAGGATATGAAGAAATAAAAAAGTCCAGAAAAGTAAAAGGAAAAATGAAAAGAAAATTGCATTTTCTGTAGGGCAGAGATCAAAATTAAGTTCAGAGAAGATAACTAAATATAATATTTTAAAATGAAGGTGTTAGAAACAGTGATCATTGAGCCCCATAATGATTGTATTAGGGAAACTGCTGTTTTTATAATCCAATTATTTGTTGCTACATTAGCAAAATTTTTATGAAATATTTGCTTTGTTAAATGGTGTGCACATACAATATACCTAGTCTTACTCAATTTACAGTTTTGAAATCCATTTCTAAAATTAACACAGCATGACTTTGATAATTTTTAAAATCCATCAAGGCAATAGCCGGTTAAAGTTGTCTTAATTGATTTTTCTGAAATATCTAACTACTTTCCTGTAGGTTGACATATTATCCGACCCTTCCTACATTACTAGATACACTTCAAAGTATCTAGATGGGATCACTTCAAAGAAAGAATGAGTTTGAATTCTGCCTTTACTACTTATTTGTCCTGTGACCTATGGGGGTGGGAAATCATCTAAGGAGATAAAACAACTTTCCAAAGAACCCATAGTTAGATGCTATATCAGAATAGGAACTTTGGTATTCTGTGTTCTAATTCAGTGTTCTTCTTCAATATACTATTTTAAAAATAAAT